TAAGGAAATCTAAGCAAGAGATGGGGATAAGTAACAAGTGTAAACAGTATATGTTGATGTACTATAAAATGTAAAGTATAGGCAGAAATAGGAAAAAGAAAAATTAGTAAATAAGTAAGTCGAAGCAAAAGTAATTTAAATAAAATGAGGGATTTGTCTTTAAAATACTCCCACAACTACGATAAATCATTCAAAAGACAAATAGTAAAAAAACTGGCACCATATATAAATAGGTTTTCAAAAATACCAGAGCTCCATTTTAATTCACTTCTGCCCAGCAAACCAGGAGCACTCGTGGAAGTCTAGCGTAGTAGATAATGTGATCAAGGGCTGCTAGGGGTGCAGAGGAGATCCAGGCGAAGTCGAAAAACCAGTCCAACCCTACCTGAATGATAATATTTTTTGAGAAGCAAAGCAATATGAAGAAGTTGCTTGATCTTGATTTCGCAACTTGTTCGGAGTCTATAGAATAGATGATAATTTCCAGAGCCTAACCGAGGACTAGGAACATTCCCAGTAGTTTTGTCGGCATTGTCAATGAGTCTTGCCATTCTTAGCCACTTATAATATGTCTTGATATCACAATTTCTTACTTGTTTTTCTAAACCTATTTGAAACCAATTCACACTCGCCGCTGGTTTCCGCATCCCACTCACTTTGCCGAGAATGCTGATCTAAGACTGCAGTTTAATCCTCAATCCTCTCCCTTTGGGTCCTATCAATGTCTCCTTGCTCCGAAGTGTCCTTCCCTTAGTTGTCTCTTTCAGTGATTTCACTCTATCGCTGCCACCGTATCCGTGCTACTCAAGGCCCTAGGTTCCAGAGTATGCCGTATGCATTCGATTACATGCATATACCAGCCTCACTCAGAAAGTCCCTAGTCTGGATTCTCAATTGGCATGGCAACCTAACTTGACACAGCAGATTGCTTTATCACTGTGCCGCATGTGCACCAAGAGAAATCTCGTGGTCAAGCCTTTACCTCATGGACCACGCATATGAGCAAGCTTAAACAGTATGCAAAGTTTTCGCTAAACATGCCTTCTTCAAGTCTCCTGTTTATTAGATTTCTTTCAGTCAGGATATCGATGGCTTCTCGTAGCTTGCGTTTTCTTGTTTTTCACCATATGCAACCAACCTTTCTGTCGATTTTGTGTCTGTACGTGCGGTGTGCTCCAATATTTCGGATCTTTCAGTATCTATGTTTCTGCATAGTCTTTGGCGTTCCTTGATTAGTAGGCTGAATTTTTTTTCCGATTTCACCAGTATACTCCTCCACACTGTTGCCACATTTTATGCTAGACTCCCGAGCAATCCAGTTTGTCAACTTTCTAGTGTTGCATCGGCAGGCTGGCAAAGAGCGTTATCTTTTCTTTTGTTATTACCTTGATATTCCATTTTCTTAGCAACGATCGAAATTTCTAGCTCAGTTTACAGAAGAATAGGCATATCCACTTTTGACCGTCCTCCCGATTCCTGATCTTATTCCCATAAAATCCTAGTTGAAA